TTATGATTTTATTTTTTAAAAATTTCAAACAAATTGTGACTCGTATTCTTGAAAGGGTTAGATTTCTCTCATGTTGAGATTTCAACATGAGAGAACTTGAGAGGCCTATAGGGCCCACTACGAGTCTCATTTCGATAAAATGAAAGCATTACGATAATCGAGTTAATCTAAATTTTTTCATGAATATTATACATTGAGAGTCTTACCAAATGAACGGTTCGGACCATCGAAATGGGACTCATAGTAGGCCTTATAGGCCCATCAAGTTATCTAATGTTGAGATTTCAACATGAGAGAAACTCAACCTTTCTTGAAAAAGGAAAACACTAATCAAAGTCGAACTGGTAATGATTAATATTGGTTTCTATGTTAAACAATTATTAAAACATATAAGAAAGTGTACAAAACATATACAATGTGTATTAAATTATGGATAAACTACCAATAGGTCTTAATAGTTGGACTTAATTCCTATCAAGTCCTATTGAAAATAGTTTTTGTAGAATTATCGCTAAAAATAATTTTTTTGTGACAATTTTTTATATATGTCGCTAAAAATTGACAATTAGTGACTTTTTTTTGTCATGATTTCTATAAATTGTCGCTAAAACTTATAATTAGTGACTTTTTTTATGATAAATTTTTTCTATAAGACCTATTAGATAATAAGTCCACTTATTAGGACCTACACGTAACCATTTCTTTTCTGATTTACATTATTTGGTCGTTAACAAATGCGCAATAAGTAATCGTCTGCCAGAATCTTTAAAAAATATCATTAGTCTATTATTTAGATGAATTTTATAGAAATATATAAAAATGCATAAGAATATATATATATAGTGTATTGAATTTTTTTGCCTTTGTCCAATAGAAAGTGTAATTCACCCAGAAGGTTTATGTAGTTGAAAAGAGTTAACCTATAAATATACCAACCTCAGCTGAGTGTCATGGATCGATTTTAGGTGTATACCAGGTTTCACTCGACTATTAATGGTTTCTCTGTGTGTGCTCGAAGGTCACCTAGTGTGGTTGAATGTAGAGCAGTCCGTCTTTACAGTATGATTTTTTTGATATTATTTGGTCATTAACGAATGCCTAATAGACGCTGTATTTGGTTGGGGGATTTAGAAAGGGAAAAATAAAAAGTAGGTGAAATATGAATAAAATATACTTACATTTCACATAATTTCATACACATTGGACACCAGCGGAAGAAGTGGCCACTTTGAGTCTGTGAAAATTGATTGAAAAAAAGGTTCAATTTTTTTTTTGGAAAATATCAAATTTATTTATTATTATTATTACACTTGCACATTCAAAAAGCCCTCCCCCCCAAAAAAAACAAAAAACAAAAAACTTATTGTTATGATGAATCATTTAAAATTAATTGATGGTTGTTTTCCAACGTCTAAATTATATATAGAATATTATTAATTATAGATACTATTTACAATTGTTTATGGGGAAAGAAAACATTTCAAATTTGAAATTAATTAAATTTGACTTTCAATCAACTATGTCATAACACTACAAGAAAAGTGGGCTTAAAAGACGGAAGTATTTGTAACAGTACACTTGCCGTCTCAAACAACTAGTTGTTGCGAAAAATGTGAGTTTTTGCTATGGCACAATTTGCTATCGTGGAAAAATAGAGTATTTGGGATGGCAGAAAATGTTGTCGCAAAAAAGAAGAGTACTTGCGATGGCGAAAATTGCTATCGCGAAAAATGAGAATATTTGCGACGGTAGAAATTGTTGTCGCAAAAAAAATGTGAGTATTTGCAATGACAGAGATTCCTATCGTGAAAAAATAAGGCTTTTGCGACGGCACTAGCTGCAGTCTCAAAAAAAAAATGTGAGTTTTTTGCGACTGTAATAGGTACCGTTGCAAAATAAAAGTAAAAAAAATATATATTGTGACTTTGAGACGGCTTCATATATATACAATCACAAAATTGTTTGAATAAATGCAACGGTATTTTTCTGTCACAAAAAAAAATTAAAAAAAAACAACGTTATTTTATTCTTTTGATATAACATTTCTCTTTTCACTCATTTTTTCATCTCTCTATCTCTCTGTCTCTCTCTTCTCTTTCTCTCTCTCTCTCACTCACTCATCACTTTTCTCTCTCTGACTGTCTGTTTGTTTGTTTCTCTCTCTCTCTCTCTCTGTGTCTCTCGCTCATCTCTTTTCTCTCTCTTTCTCTTTCGCTCATCTCTCTTCTTTCTATCTCTTTTCTCTCTCTGTCTGTCTCGCTCATCTCTCTTCTCTTTATCTCTCTCTCTTTGTCTCTCTTGCTCATCTCTCTTCTCTCTATGTCCCTCTCTTTTTCCATGTCTCTCTCTTGTTCATCTCTTTTCGCTCTCTTTCTCTCTCTTTGTCTATCTTTCACTCATCTCTTGTTTATCTCTCTTTTTCTGTTTGTCTGTCTGTCTCTCTATCTTTTTTTTTCTCTCTCTCTCTCACTCATCACTCCTCTCTCTTTCTCTCTCTGTCTGCCTGTCTGTTTGTCTGTCTCTCTCTCTCTTTTCCCTACTGTGTTTGCCTTGCTCACTCTCTCTCTCCCCTCTTCTCTATTTATCGAGCTCCCTCTCGATTTGTCGATCCACTACAAGAAAATGCACTTTTAGCGACCACTTTGTCTCTCTCTCTCTCTCACCACCCATCTCCCCTACGACCTTCACCCTTACTGCAAATGTCATTCCACTACTACCACTGTAACCACTCCATCTCTACAACTACCATTACTACCACCATCGCCACCACTCCACCTCTACGACTACCATTACTACCACCATCGCCACCACTCCACCACCACCACCACCACTATTGCCACTACTACTACCATTACCTCTCCTTCACCACCGCGACTCCATCTCCTCTACCACTACTACAACTTCACTACTAATCTCCTTCACCACCACTACCACCACCACCACCACCATCACCTCTTATCCACCAACTTCACCACTACTGCCGCTCCCTCTTTTCTACCAAAAAAAATTAGTTCCTGATTTTTAGTAACCAAAAAAATGGGCTGCAAAAATTGTTATGATGAATCATTTAAAATTAATTGATGGTTGTTTTCCAACGTCTAAATTATATATAGAATATTATTAATTATAGATACTATTTACAATTGTTTATGGGGAAAGAAAACATTTCAAATTTGAAATTAATTAAATTTAACTTTCAATCAACTATGTCATAACACTACAAGAAAAGTGGGCTTAAAAGACGGAAGTATTTGCGATGGTACACTTGCCGTCTCAAACAACTAGTTGTTGCGAAAAAGGTGAGTTTTTGCTATGGCACAATTTGCTATCGTGGAAAAATAGAGTATTTGGGATGGCAGAAAATGCTGTCGCGAAAAAGGAGAGTACTTGCGACGGCGAAAATTGCTATCGCGAAAAATGAGAATATTTGCGACGGCAAAAATTGTTGTCGCAAAAAAAATGTGAGTATTTGCAATGACAGAGATTCCTGTTGTGAAAAAATAAGGCTTTTGCAATGGCACCAGCTGCAGTCTCAAAAAAAAATGTGAGTTTTTTGCGACTGTAATAGGTACTGTTGCAAAATAAAAGTAAAAAAAAAATATATTGTGACTTTGAGACGGCTTCATATATATACAGTCACAAAATGGTTTGAATAAATGCAACGGTATTTTTCTGTCACAAAAAAAATTAAAAAAAACAACATTATTTTACTTTTTCGATATAACATTTCTCTTTTCACTCATTTTTTCATCTCTCTGTCTCTCTGTCTCTCTCTTCTCTTTCTCTCTCTCTCTCACTCATCACTCTTCTCTCTCTGACTGTCTGTTTGTTTGTCTCTCTCTCTCTCTCTCTTTCTCTCTATGTCTCTCGCTCATCTCTCTTCTTTCTCATCTCTTTTCCCTCTCTGTCTCTTTCGCTCATCTCTCTTCTTTCTATCTCTTTTCTCTCTCTGCCTGTCTCGCTTATCTCTCCTCTCTTTATCTCTCTCTCTGTCTCTCTTGCTCATCTCTCTTCTCTCTATGTCCCTCTCTTTTTCCATGTCTCTCTCTTGTTCATCTCTTTTCGCTCTTTTTCTCTCTCTTTGTCTATCTCTCATTCATCTCTTGTTTATCTTTCTTTTTCTGTCTGTCTGTCTGTCTCTCTATCTCTTTTTTTTCTCTCTCTCTTTCACTCATCACTCCTCTCTCTTTCTCTCTCTGTCTGCCTGTCTGTTTGTCTGTCTCTCTCTCTTTCCCCTACTATATTCACCTTGCTCACTCTCTCTCTCTCCTCTTCTCTATTTATCGAGCTCCCTCTCAATTTTTCGATCCACTACAAGAAAATGCACTTTTAGCGACCACTTTGTCTCTCTCTCTCTCTCTCACCACCCATCTCCTCTACTACCTTCACCATTACTACAAATGTCATTCCACTACTACCACTGTTACCACTCCATCTCTACGACTACCATTACTACCACCATCGCCACCACTTCACCTCTACGACTACCATTCTACCACCATCGCCACCACTCCACCTCTACGACTACCATTACTACCACCATTACTACCACTCTATCACCACCACCGCCACTACTACTACCATTACCTCTCCTTCACCACCGCGACTCCATCTTCTCTACCACTACCACAACTTCACTACTAATCTCCTTCGCCATCACCACCACCACCACCTCCATCACCTCTTATCCACCAACTTCACCACTACTGCCACTCCCTCTTTTCTGCCAAAAAAAATTAATTCCTGATTTTTAGTAACCAAAAAAATGGGCTGCAAAAAAATATTTTTCATTGACCACAAAAAATTAACTTTATTTTAACAAAAAATATTTTTCATTAAAATATAACCCATACTTCTACAAAATAATAAAAATAATAACAATTTTTTTTCATTAAAATAAAAATAAAACAAATAATTTTTCAACCTCAATAACTAAAAAAAAAATCAAAAATAAAAAAAAAATTATTAACTACAAAAAAAAATTCACACCGCCTATGCTAACTCTCCTCTTCCTTTCTTCTTTTTCTTTTCGTTTTCCCGCTCTATCTGAATTCCTCCCTCTTTCTTTCCCTCGTTTTGTTTCTCATAACCTCCAATCCCCAATCCCTAATCTCCTAAACAAAAAAATCCTGAATTTTCATACTATCTCTCTCTCTCACGATTGTAAGTAGCGGCAGTGGGAAAGTGAAAGGAATAGTGGTGGTGTTCGCATGGATGTTGAGTCTAGAGAGGCATTTGAACAACTGCGTCTAGCTCTACTCTCCTCTCGACTGGAATTCCTTCTCTCAAATTGCGTTACGGTCTAATTTGTTGAGCCGTGAATCGATAAGGCAAGCTAACATTTCTTCTAGGGCTAGGCCAATTGCGACGCCTAATGATTTGCCCTATTACATTGGGTTTCCGAAGATTCTTACGATTCGTTGAAGAATCCCAATGGTATCATTAAGCTCAGATTATTAGAAAATAGGGTATGTTTTTGTTTTTCTTTGATTAATTTTCCATGTATTGGTTTTGGGTTTGATTTGATTGTTTTTGTGGTTATAGCTATCACTGGATTTGATTGAGAAGTGGTTTTCGCAAAATTTCAATGATTCTATACTTAAAAGAGGAGGAAGTAAGGGTTTGAGTATTAGTGGAATTGCAACATACCAACTATTCGATGGAATTCCAAAACTAAACGAGGTAAGATGTTTAAATGATTATAAGCAATTGAATTTCTGATTTGGGTCTGTGTTTTGATTTGCAACTTTACTTCTTTGAAATGTAACAGTTAAAATGCTCTGTTGGTAGGTATGATTATTGAAAATATTGGTGTAGATACAAACTAATTAGTAGCTTTCTGTTTAGTAATATAATGACAAGATTATATTAGTTTGTTGAACAAGTTTATTGTAAGTCTTCATTCGATAGTACATTTACTACTTACTGTATGAGCTTTCCTCGCCATAAGATCTGTGAAGTGAATGATATGATAAAGTAGAAGAATAAATTTATATGCCTCCATGCCATTACCCAAATAAAATGTTTAAGTGTTATTTGGCGAGGGTTGACTTCAAATGTAATCTTTTGAATCACATTACAGATTGATGAAACATTTGATTATGTTAGTTCATCAAAACATCGCTGGAAAATTTATTTCGATAGTCAATTACGATTTTATTTTTCTAGCTACACTTTTGGAGAATCCAGCTTAAATATTCGATAAAAAAGGGATAGTATTAGTTGGTTTTTTTTTTGATTGAGATGAATTATATATGATCTTTTAGTGTCACAATTACTTTTGGGTGATCCACACTTATGCAGCCCTCACAAAGTTTTCTACTTTGTTATACATTTTTTGCCAATTTTCTTTCACTAATCAACAGGGGGAGAAAAAGAAAGAGCCAACTTCTCTTTGCTATTGTAGCCTTAATGAAGTTCACTACTCACCTACACAAACATGCGCGTACACGCACAAACAAGGAAAGATGAAATATGTGTTTTTTCAGGCAACTTTTGTTTGAATGTTGTTGGATGTCATTTTCTATAGAGTCATTTCTTTTCTTTTCTTTCTTTTTTTTTTTTCCTATAGTAAGCTTGATTTAATCCATGATAGTCCTGCATTTTGTAATTTTTTTAAATGTTACTTTTACGTTGGATAGGACAAGAACTTCAATAGTATGCCAAAGCGTCAAAAAAGTCTCAAAAGCATCGGTATGCTTCTCTGTAAGCTATTTCAAGGAGGATCTTACACTGTTGGTTCCCATTATTGGTTCACAATTTGAATTTTGTTTAATTGTCTCAGGTTTAGTAAAACACAAGAGACCAACAGAGGTTGAGCATTCCATGAAAGTTGCACGAACCAAAACAGGTAAGCAGTTAATAAAGTCAACTAGAAGAAAGTGATTCATTTAGCCCACCCCAAAAAATTGGGAAAAAGGCTTGTTGATTTTGAGATATTTTGAGTAATTTCAACATCTTGCTATATGGAGGTTCTTTATGCTTTCAAAGATGCATTTGAACTTTTTTTCCTCAAATTTTTTTATCAAGCAACTTTTGGATAGCTTCCTTATAGGATAAATGAATTTGTAATTTACATGTTTTTACCTTCTATAGGAAGTTGAAGATCCAAAGGCTATTGCTATATTCAGGGAACAACTCAACCACTTACAGGCAATCTTTTTTTTCTCTATGAGCTGTTATTGATGCCAAATTTGTATGACTCTCATTCTACAAGTACTTTTGCATTTTTTAGAAAGTAGAACGTTATCGGATTTGTTTTAGTAAATCTGTAATACATGGATAGGGCCTATTTGCATGTCAGAATATTCAAGAATATTTGGAAAAAGTCTATTTCTTTGTATGTGTGTTTCTTAATTACCAATGTCAGAAATCCTTTCTATGTTTGCTGCATTCCGCATGATGCATATAATTTTATAGATGTAGATATACATTTGGGTTTTGTATTTATTTTGAAATGATACTCTTATGACCCTAATTGTTCTTTCCATTCTATAAAGCAGTTTCTTCAATATTCTTGGTACCATTTCATGTTAACCACGACCATTATATAACCATGAAAATTATATAACCTTAAACCAAATGGATCTAAGTTAATAATCAAGTAGTCAAGTGAAAAAAGTAATAAAAATTTTCTGAGTAATAAAAATTGTAACGTCTCCTGATCTTAATTAAGACGTCACTGCATTCAAGAAACTTAGAATTCGAGATATTGACGTCCCAAAATCACCAAATGACGTTGGATTAGCATGAAACTTGACAGACACGACCGCCTAGGCATGAGAGACTTGTGGGAGAAGACGGGACTCGAATTGGGTTCCCAATTTTGGAGTTAGAGCCAGATTTCGATCTAGGCAAACTAGTTCCTTAAGAAACTTAGAATTCGAGGTGTTAACAGCCCAAAATCACCAAACGGCATCAGATTAGCACGAAACTTGGCACATACGACCGCCTTGGCACGAGAGATTTGTGGAAGAAGACGGGACTCAAATCGGGTTCTCAGTTTGAAAGTTAGAGCCGAATTTTGGTCTAGGCTAACTAGTTCCTTAAGAAATTTAGAATTCGAGGTGTTGACGTCCCAAAATCACCAAAAGGCGTCGGATTAGCATGAAATTTGGCACACATGACTGCCTTGGAACACAGGACTCGAATCGGGTTCTCGGCTTGAGAGTTAGAGCCAAATTTCGGTCTAGGCAAACTAGTTCTTTAAGAAACTTAGAATTCGAGGTGTTGACGCCCCAAAATCACCAAACGGCGTCAGATTAGCACGAAACATGGCACACACGACCGCCTACGCACGAGAGACTTATGGGAGAAGACGAGACTCGAATCAGGTTCTCGATTTGGGAGTTAGAGCCAAATTTCACTCTAGACAACTTAGTTCTTAAGAACTTTAGAATTCGAAGTGTTAACGCTCCAAAATCACCAAACGGCATCGGAGTAGCATGAAACTTGGCACACACGACCGCCTAGGCACGAGAGACTTGTGGGAGAAGACAGGACTCGAATCGGGTTCTCAGTTTGGAAGTTAGAGCCGGATTTCACTCTAGACAAATTAATTTCTTAAGAAATTTAGAATTCGAGGTGTTAATGCCCTAAAATCACCAAACGGCGTTGGAGTAGCGCGAAACTTGGCACCCTCGACCGCCTAGACACGAGAGATTTGTGGGAATCGGGTTCCCGGTTTGGGAGTTAGAGCTGGATTTCACTTTAGACAAACTAGTTTCTTAAAAAATTTAGAATTCGAGGTATTGACGCCCCAAAATCACCAAACGACGTTGGATTAGCACGAAACTTGGCACACATGACCGCCTAGGCATGAGAGACTTGTGGGAGAAGACAGGACTCGAATCGGGTTCCCGGTTTGGAAGTTAGAGGCGGATTTCACTTTAGATAAATTAGTTTCTTAAGAAACTCAGAATTCGAGGTGTTAACGCCCCAAAATCACCAAACGACGTTGGAGTAACACGAAACTTGGCATACATGACCACCTAGGCACGAGAGACTTGTAGGAGAAGACGGGACTCGAATCGGGTTCCGGGTTTGAGAGTTAGAGCTGGATTTCATGTTAGGTAAACTAGTTCCTTAAGAAACTTAGAATTCGAGATGTTGATGCCCCAAAATCACCAAACGACATTAGATTAACACGAAATTTGGTACACATAACTCCCTAGGCACGAGAGACTTGTGGGGGAAGATGAGACTCAAATCGGGTTCCTGGTTTGGGAGTTAGAGCTAGATTTCACTCTAGACAAACTATTTTCTTAAAAAACTAAGAATTCGAGGTGTTGACGATCCAAAATTACCAACCGGCGTCAGATTAGCACGAAATTTGGCACACATGACCGTTTTGGCACGAGAGACTTGTGCGAGAAGACAGGACTCGAATCAAGTTCCCGGTTTGAGAGTTATAGCCGGATTTCAGTCTAGGCAAACTAGTTCCTTAAAAAATTTTGAATTTGAGGTGTTAACGCCCCAAACTTACCAAACGGTGTCGGATTAGCATGAAACTTGGCGCACACAACCACCTTGGCACAAGAGACTTGTAGGAGAAGACAGGACTCGAATCAGGTTCTCGGTTTGGGAGTTATAACCAGATTTCAGTCTAAGCAAATTAATTTTTGAAGAAACTTAGAATTCGAGGTGTTGACGCCCAAAAATCACCAAACGGCATCGAATTAGCATGAAACTTGGCACACATGACCGCCTAAGCATGAGAGACTTGTGGGAGAAGACGAGACTCGAATCGCGTTCCCAGTTTGAGAGTTAGAGCCAGGTTTTAGTCTAGGCAAAATTATTTACTTAATTATCTTTATAATTGTATAATAGTTAAATTTTTATATTTTTTTTATAATTAATATATTAACACATAATTATATTGTCATTAATTATTTTTATTTTTTGTTTTCAGATATTTTCCAAGTAGGAGTTTGTTTCTTGTGGAATGCATGCCTGTGAAAAATGCGGCTAACTTTTGTTTTTGTTACCCATGGAGAATAATGAGGAAAACTTTTAATTTTGGTTTATGTTATTTTGAATTATGAACAACGTTATGTATTTAAACATTATATATGTATTATGGATTATGTAGTGGGGTAATTTTGTTGATGTATAGTTATGGATGCAAAAATATTTTTATTATGGAGAAATTGTTATTTCTATATAAGAATTTTTATATTATTATGCAATTTTTGATTTCTTTTTCAATTGTTTTTCATTTAATACATGTAATTTTAATATTTTTAATAATTTTATTACAGGTTTTTCTTTTCTTTTCTTTTTTTCCGATGGCACCACATCATCACAAAAAAAAAAGGTAATTTTAATATTTTTAGTAATTTTATTGCAGTTTTTTTTTTTTTTGGCGACGGCACCACACCGTCACAAAAAACATTAGAACCACTGGCAACAGTGGTCATGTCGTTGCCAAAAAAAAAAAAACACAATTCGCGACAATATTTCTTGTCATCACAAATAAAACTTTTAGTGACGGTAAAACAATGTCGTTGCAAAAGATCTTAATTTTTTCCATATTATAGGCTACAGTAAAATGCCGTCGCAAAAGGCAACAATTGCCGTCGCAAATGATGCCGTCGCTAAAACTTTTTTGCAACGCCCTCTGTTGTGACCCTCCCTTTGCCGTCGCTAAAAATCATTTGTCGTCGCTAAAAGTTTTTTGAGACGGCACTAGGAATATTAGCAACTACATTTTGCCATCGCAAAAACCTGAAATTTTTGTAGTGTAAGAAAGATTGAACAAGTTTGGTTGATAAGTTGGTTAAAAGAAGTTTAATTAGTAATTTTGCACTAAAAAGCCAGAAAAATTTAAATAAAATTTAAGTTATCAAGTAGTTCAGTTCATACTCACAAACTTATTCAAAACAGGTTGGCCTATCCACTTGGCTAATAATATGACTTTTATACTTAACAATACGGAAATAAAATTTAAATTATCAACTAATGTAATTCTACTGAAAAAAAAAATAAAAAATAAAAAATCAGTGCATATTAGAAATGTGCTTTGGGATGCCTTTTTTCTTATATATATATATATACAGATATGTTTTTTTGATAATTGAATGTCTGAATCAGCTTATGCTTAAACATCGATTAATCTCGAAACTTACGCAAAACGTCATTTCCATGTGGATGAGACGGAGTCCATAGGCGTAGTCTGAAGAAATTGATAGCACCTAGTAGAAGTTGAGCCTGAGACTTGGAAACATACTTTCAGGCTCTAAACTACACCTATTAAGCCAATCCATCGATTTTTAAAAAAAAAATTATATATATGCATAAAAAGTCATATATTAAAAGCTTGCCTTGAGTCCCGGTAAAAACAGAACTGGCCGTGATTACTAACACACATTTATATGATTTTTTTTGGGTACAAAACTATGCTTGTAAATTATTTCCTAATCAGTTATTAATACAAGAGCAATTTTAATTTTTTGTACAAAACTATGTTTGTAAACTATTTCCTAATCAGTTATTAATACAAGAGCAATTTTAATTTTTTGTACAAAACTATGTTTGTAAATTATTTCCTAATCAGTTATTAACACGAGCAATTTTAATTTTTTGTACAAAACTACGTTTGTAAATTATTTCCTAATCAGTTATTAATACAAGAGCAATTTTAAATGCATTAAAATTTTTGCTAAAATTCTTACTGTCCAAATATCATGAGATGTTCAAATATTATTATTATTTTTTTTAAAATAAATCATATTTGACTTTATATAATTTTAATTTTTTTTAAATGAAAGTGTTACTATTTATACAATGCAAAGCTTGCATGGCAACTATACTTCCATCACAGCTATTAAGAAACTTACCGACCAACCACTTAGAGAAAAATTTGCAAAAGTTGATTAGACTCTAATGCCTAAGGAGATTCCATGCCCAAGTCATATCATGCTGTGGCCAAAACAGCCCACTACATCGTCAAACGAAAAAATCAAAACAAAAAAAATAATAAATTAATTCAAAATTAAAAAAAGAAAGTTAAAGCGTCATAGAAGGAAAGGTAGCATGCTGTCACACCCGGCCAAAGTCATAGAGAACGATTATAAAGGCTATGTTTGTGTTGATTTTTTGACTTTTGAAAGTTAAAAATATAAATTGAGCGTGTCAATAAAAATCAATAAATCTTTACAAAGATAGTAAATGTCAACCAATTAGTTAGACGATTGTTTCAAAATTCTTTTAACTTCAATGAAGAGAACTTTTACTAGTGACTTATTTTAGAAGAAAATTCAAAAGACTAATCAAAGTAAAAGAAGGAAGAAAAACAGTGTTAGAAATCAAATTTCATTAAGTAAATAAGAGTTTACAATTGTA